GGACTTGTGGTATGAGTATAGGTTGTGTGTGAACGTGTTGGAACCACTTCCTAATAATTGTCAGTCAGTCAGTCAGTCAGTCAGTCAACATTCACCTAACCTCCAGGTACCTCACCTAACTTCCTGTAGCGTCACCGAACCTCACGAAATGTAACCCAATGTAGTTTATAATCTATCCTAACATGACATAACATAACCACGCACTATATTACTTCGGTAAGAGTAATGAGTTTTAATACACAAAGTTGCAGTTATCATTCATTCATACATACATACATACATACATACATACATACATACATAACATGCTAGTGGCAGGGGGGGATTGAAGTGAATTTTAGGAGGATAGAATAGGTGCAGTGGCTAAACAGCGCTTGCGTGAGGGACTTTAAGCAGCAACTCGCCTGGATGCGGCAGGATAGAGTCAGGTCAAGCGTCCGGTGCATGTTGGGTTCCGCCATGGGTTCTCAGTGTTTGGTCGGCTTGATTGTGTGTGTTGTTTTCTTGTTTGGAGGAAATGTCTTGGTATTCTTCTTCTTAGCTTGAAGTTGATTTTCTTCTAACTCTTCTCCTCTTGTTGTTCGTCTTCCTCGTGTCTGCTATCATTCTGTAAAGACTCTCTATATGTATGTAGGTATGAGTGAGTAACAGTTGCCGGTTACAGTGATACTTCATATTCGCTGGTGTTGTACTGTATGGCTTCGGTATTTCTTAATATACAAACAGCACCGTTAGTGGATTGAGGTATTTAAAAACCAGCCTGCATTACTTATATATAGAAATAAATAATGTGGCTTGGACAATAATGACGACTACTCTCTCCTACCTTCCCCAAACAAGGGCTTTTCGAAAGTATACATTGGACACAAATGACTTAGTACATCATAAATTGGTGGTTTAACAAAAGCCCTCATTAGAGAAAGGTGAAGGAGCACACAGTGAACATACAGATTAATGTTTGCACGCGTAGATCATGTAAGGTGAGATGTTGAACACCAGACACGTAGTGTAGTAACTCCCTCACAGATGGCGTTATGAGGGGCCTGATGATGTAGCAGTTACCTCACAGATGGTGTTATGGGGAAATTCACATGATGATGCTGTAGCAAAACATTCACTACGTGTTGTCGTAGCATCTTGGGGACACCACGTGGTCGACATGACTCACTCATTCAAGTGGGTGAGGTGTGGTCCCAGGCCTCTCTATCGTGGAGTCTCATGGGAAGTATAACTGGGTACCTGGGACCTCACTGTGTGAAGGTGGTTAGCTAGCTTGGGTAAGACTCAACTGCCGAGTTGTTTTTCACTGAGTTAAGCACTGTTCACCACTATTCATCACTGGTTCCATTCCTTTGCCAAATGAGATAGTACCTTATGGCAAGAACTTGTTGATAGTCGGCTGGGGAGGAGGGTTCAGGGGAGTGAGTTGGTATGAGCCAACATATAAATAATAATAATAATAATAATAATAATTAACGGTTTATTGAAAGAGCTTGGCAGCCAGAAGACTGAAAATATACAGTTACATATTTGGGGAATGGGTTACGAATTACAAATAATATACAAGTAACATGAGTGACACAAATAAGACATATAATAACTAGCTGGGGAAAAGCTCAAACTACAGTTCATTTCAACATAGTGACAGTGCAAGGAGTAGTGTTTACTGGGAGTGAGTACACTGATTTATTACAAGTTATCGATAATTTTTACAATGGTTGGGACTGGGCTGTTCTTATAGCGATCAGTTCGTGCACGTATGGGCTGGGCTGGATGCGGTTGTGGTGTCGACGAGCAATTCTCGGACTAGGGATCTCAGGTGGTAGTAGGAGCCGGTGTCGGGGATGGTGTAGAAGCTTCTTACCAAATTTGCAGATGAGGTCGTGGTGATGGTCAGTGAGAGTCTAAAGGGTCAGTGTGTTGAGCGCTTCTTGATATGTGGAGTAGGAAGGGTAGAGAATAATCTTGCATGGCCTCTTTTGCACTTTTTCGAGGTGTTTACGTTGTGTGGCATTTAGGGAGGAAGACCAGGTGGAGGAGGCATAGGTGAGCTTGGGAAGTATGGATGTTGTGTAAACACTGAGGAGCTCGTGTGCAGGACCACCGAGGGACTTGAGTCGGCGTAGGAGGTGGAGACGGAAACTGGAGGATTTGATAACTTCACTGACGTGTGGTTTCTAATTTAGTTTGTTGTCTATATGTATGTGTGTGTGTGTGTGTGTGTGTGTGTGTGTATACTACTGTACTTTTTAGATCCTCCTACGCAACCTAACCTATTATAGTTAAGTATAGTAGGCTATACACTATTTTGTTAGTATGTGTTATAAAATGAAATTGCATGTTATTATTATTAATATTATTATTATTAATATTATTATTATTATTATTATTATTATTATTAGTAGTATTAGTAGTATTATTATTATTATTATTGTTATTATTATTACATGCTAATATAATACTAAGTTGCCCGCCAGATTTCCTCAGAGATGGGAGGAGCACATTGGCGGCGGTGTTGTTTATACTCCGCCCGATTACTGATTCCTATTCACCGAGCCAGAGCTGGCGGGCGGCGTGTTATGTGCCACGTTTTGTTTCCCATTGGGCGTACCGCTCAGCTGGGGAGTAGGAGATTTCATAAAAAGAAAGTTTGAGTGGAGAACACACCTTTTCCTTCACATACAGTTATCTTAGACCATCTACTAGTATAATAGTTTGCACAAAAATACTCTACACTCTTTCTAGGTTATTGTTATGTTGTTTTTTTTTTTTTGACTTCTCATCAGATTGTGCATTCAACTAATATACACTATTAGTGTGTTTATTATTATGTTTTATAGTATTATTTCGTATAATATTGGGTAACACAATTATAGTCACTAGTATAGTATATTATTGGGGGTTTATAGCAGTTTGTGGTCTAATAGTATCATGCTTTATGAGTGGTGTTCTATGTAGTGATGATTAGGCAATAAAATATGCTTTGGGTGTTTATAGCAGTTTTTGTGGTCTACTAGTATCATGCTTTATGGGTGGTGTTCTATGTAGTGATGATTAGGCCATAAAATATGCTTTTGGTTTATTGCTAACAAAATATACTTTGCTCTACCGCTGTCGTGCAAAACATGGTGAAACTTACATACACCGTTAATAAAGTATTCATGGAAGAAGAAGAAGAAGAAGAAGAAGAAGAAGAAGAAGTACGAGGTAGAATTGTGGAGGGAATGAACAGTGAGACAATGTAAAGCCTCCGGGATGGCGGCAGCGTTTCTGTTATTAATATATAATAAGACAATAGGAAAATATGTTGTTGTCTCTACCTGTATTATTACCTTTGCGATAGCATGGTTCAATTTGGGGAGGACAGAGGAAGGAGCAGGAGGTTAGGAAGGGAGAGATAGTGTCTGTGATCCTCGGGTCACCACTCCTCGGATTGTGTCAGTTCAAGTTTAGAAGCTCCAACAACTTTCCCTGAATACGAATTCACAACCTTTCGATTTACAACAGGTACCTACTTACTGCTACAGTAGGTGAACAGGGACCAAGGGGGCTAGGAATAGTGTCCAAACAACTTGCTCCTGCCTGCCTGTGTGATGTAGTCGTGGCCACAATTAGGTTAGGATACAGACACATCTGGCAAGTTAGTAACGCTGTACCCATACCGGAACACTCAGCATGTAAACTTTGTGATACACCTTTAAAGCACTATATTATTGAATGTGACACTGTCAAAGACTTCAGGCCACCTCACTTATTGTATCTTGAACTATGTCATTACTTCATTGAGGACATTACATTCTTGCTCTTTATCCCAAATTGGCTAGCCCACACTGGTAAATGTGTACTGTACTGTCAATGAATCTGATGTATTTCTTTGTGTATGAACCTGACTGAAAATAAGGTCGCCTCCCTTGCTGCTGCTGCTAAAGCTGCTTCTGCGCCCTTCTAAGTCCCGTTTAAGTCCCCCACCCCTGGCCCCCACAACCGCCCTTCACATCTACACCATTCAAAATCAATTTCACTCTATTTCCACAATACTATGCTAATTACACGTAAATTGCTCAACCAATCAATAGCAGAATTGACACACGCAGCTATGAATACATCATACATATTATCTTATCTTCATAAAAGTAAATGAAACACACAATACAAATAATATTATACATTTGTCATTTAAAATTGCCCTCAAATATTAGTATAATCACATACAAGAACACTTTTCTTATTGCCAACTCAATCAAACCAGATTTTCGGTGAGTATCTCACAAGGGAAGTAAACCCTTAGTTGGTAACAATTGCTTCAAAAGTTATCACACAATCTTTTTGTATCTCAAACTAATTCATTACACACAGGCTCTCCAACAACCTAACACCCAACAAAATTTGGCATTTTGTATTATACACATGATAACATATCTAAAAAGATTGCATAAAACTAATAACATACAGTAATAATAGACAAACGCACATAATCTCAGGACATATGCCAATAAGTAGACATTACAAACAGGAACTAATACAAAAAACGAATTTGGTATGTATTTCAGCAAATTAAAGCTTCATTTCATCACAAAACATCAATGTTACATCTAACCTCATTCACAAAACGCATAGAGATCAATGTAAATGAACAAACCTTTATATAATTCTTACAAACATTAATAATATATGAGCCGGAACCCCACAACAACACAAATCACCAATTAAAATAATACAAATTACAACATCAACCAATAACATAACTATTTCACAACACAAAACTAAAACTAGGACAACCAAAATTTGTTCCGTTAATACATAAGATCAGTGTCAACTATAACTAAGTGAAATTAACTAGGACAATTTCACAAAACATTGAAAATGTGGCGGTATTACCGTTTGAGGCAAGAATACCTTAGCAACTGATCCCTCACCAGTGTCAGTTACACTTTGACATTTAGTTGGGTACAACGTCTTCAGTGTTGATATCAAGTTCGAAAATTAGGGTACATTTCAAAATTAGTGTGAAGGTCTCAGGGCTGTTTTCAACACATGATAAAACATGAAATGGAACATCAAGAAGATTGGGCCGGCCGTCTCTTGTACGCTCACGCGATTTCAATAACAGTTGGCCTTTGGGAGGAGTTACATTTGATACTGTGTCCTCATGGCGGCAAAAGGTAAGTTAATATTACGTTTGAGCAATTTACAATACGCCAACCAGCTATGGATTTATTGGGATTATTTTCTATTAACTAGTACAAGAAACTAACGTCATTAAACAATGACAGCAAAATACGAGTAGATAACATAAACCTAAGGGGGACTAAATTATTGTCCCCTGTAAAGTCAACATTTAGCTACCTCTCACAAGTAGGCTACAATTACAACAAATTATATGAGAAAATACACAAAAACTTTAATTTAATTAACAATTGCATAATTCACAAACATTTTTCACTACTGTATGTACACATTTCAATAAGGGAGATGAAACATTTCTTATTACACAGTGGCAAGCAGAAAATTAAGTTCATCCATGAGTGGCCTAAAGTGAAGTACTTCCAGGGTAGTCAGAAAAGTCGATTTACCCATGACGTCCCTAATGTTTACTTGATCCAGGGCATAAAAAATTTTCATTTGATCAATGATAAGCCTGAACTTACATTAAACCATGAGTTGGTTGCTCCAGGGGGGGTCCCTAAAGTTCAGTAGATCAAACAATGTATACTGTCTTTCATATTTTAATGTTGGATTAAGGACTACTTCACTTAAGTTATTTTCTGGTTACAGTTAATTAGTCAAGTCTGACATATTTCTGGTGTCATCAATAGAATGTACGCATATCTCATTTAATGAAGAATTATATTTTCATTATCTTTGAATGTCAAAGAATTTTAATATAAAAACAATTAACGAAAAATGGAGTCATACCGGTGAATACTTTCTATATTTATTACATCTACCTATAATTGAGTGGAGCAACTAGGTGATTTAGGTGAGATACAACGAGTTTAATTATGAAAATGTATTACAGTCTCTCCTGGACCTAAGACGGTCTTCCGTCCCGACCACCAGGTCGTAATACCTCAAAAATCGTTATTAAATATTAGGATCAATGACTTCTTTGGGTATTAAACAATACAATTTGGTGCTTATTTTGTCCTCTTACATAAAGTAGCTTCAGTGTGTAGGGTGAAACATCTATCATGAAGTGAATGTCATTTGAACTTTACGGAGTCTGAATTTGTAACTCAAAATACCCGGTAGACTAATGCTTTTGATTTACTCATAATCAATTTGGTAAAATGATTGTTTAGGTCATCCACCTACTTGGCATTTGCAAAAACATAATTGAATGGAACAGTGTAAAGGAAATAATTCGATCGTTTGAGGTATATATTACTTTCGTGTTGAATATTGGTTACTTCTGTGTTTGTTAAGTTTGCTTACTTGTGGAGTAAACGTCACTTTACGCTTGGGAATTGTTACTTTTCTCTACTTTAATTCTTTTAAAATAGTTTTATGAATTATAATAATTGGGTCACGTTACTTTTCTTTGATTAATTCAATGCCATGTTATCGTGTTATACAAGTCGTATCTTACGTAAATTCTTAATATTTATTCATATTTTCAAATAATATTTAGTCTTTCTTCGAGTTTCAGAAAATTTGGTCATATTTTACATTCGTATTGGTAACGTTCAAGGTAGTTCTACTATTCTTGCCGTCCATTTGAGGTGGGGGTAATTATGTACAACTAACGAAAGGCAAAAATCGGTTGAGAACTATTAGGAAAACGTCAGATTTTCACTGATATATTCCAGTGGACACTGTTTTGTATATATAAGCTACTTAACATTGGTGGCTACGAAGGACAGACATAACCATACTCACCTACCTACCTACCTACCTACCTACCCACCCTCCCTAACTTCACAGGTACATTAAACAAATAAACTGACTATGTGGTGATATTGAAGATATTTTCTGGACGTGACATGATACAGCAGCAGAAAACAACGAAGCAGCCATGGCGGATTAGTCATGTACTATATTAACAAAGGTGGGATTTGGGGTCATTTAGATTGGGGGACAATTTGTTTCCTTTCATTTATGTTTTATTTAGGGTTACATTACAGTTTGCAGTATTATTAATTAAATTTTTACACATTTTGGGAACTTTAATGTACAATTTACGTTTATTGATTTAAATATTCTTTCCATTTGCGTCAGTGTATCTGGGCGAATCCTAACATAACCGCTTCATGTGTCCGATGGTGACGTTTTAATTATCAATAAACACTAAAATTGGGTGGGATTAAAACATTGACAAAAAACAAATCATGTCTTCGATTATATTTTAATTCTCTGGGAAAGGAAAAATTCCCTAACAAATTTAAAGCTACACAATATCGCGCATTTATAGATAATTAAACAATTATGGCAGTGGGATATAAATTGTCATTTTAACAGGTGTTAGCCAGTTGTGACTAGTTAACTTATGGTGAAGCCAGTGGCGTGTCGTGAGAAAAATGCTAGGGTAAGCAAATGACGCTGGTAAGATCTCTGATGAAGCTGGAGTAAGAATACTAATATCATTTTATTATTCATTTAGCATATTTATAAAATAGGAAGTAATTAACAATATATTATTTTAACTTACCATTTTAAACATAGTTCAATGGAATTATTCTTGGCTTACGAGAAAAAGGATCAGTAACTTTGATGTAAAATTCTGGCTTGCTCTCAAGATTATGCAATAATTATTTTTCAATTGATAGAAGGGCTAAACTTTGCAATCTTTCTTGACCTTGAGAATTTCTTGAGTAAGTTTTAATTCGCTTCAAAGCAGAGAAGCTGCGCTCTACAGATGCAGTCGTTGCTGCAACTGTTAAAATTAATTCACAAAGTCTTGATACTTCATTGTAAGCCTTTTCCAAGTCATTCAGCTTTATAAATCTTAAAATTTCTTTTATAGTTTTATCTTTGAATTCCTCTGACATGTAAACAACTCTAAGTTGCGATTTCAGTGCTAAAAAATAAAAGAATTTATCATAGCTACACTTCAGCAATTGAAAAGCAAGCTCTGGAAATGCCAAAACTTAGTAAACTCACAGAATGATGGAGAGTGTAACAGCTCTAAGAATCTTAATGAATCCAAATTTGCAAATCTGATATTAACCTGGTTAAGTATCGTGTCATATATTTCTACATAAAGTCGTGAGAATGACGTCTTCACATCAACATTTACTTTTTGTCTCTTAAATCTGGGTTCATTTTCATTTATGTGATCACAGTTCTTTGTTGTTTCCCAATTGTTCTCAAACTCTTCTCTCTTCTGTTCCAAAGCCAGGCGAAAATCATTCACTTTTCTGACACATTAACCATCATGAATTTTTGCTTGCAGTATATCAAAAAGTGTATCTGACAATGGGAAAAATGATGCAAAAAGATTTAAGAGAAAGCAATAATTAAAATCAGTCATCGATGATAAAAATCCCCCTGCACGGTTATATGACTCTTGATCCCACTCAGATTCGGTATCTCTCATTTTCTCGAATACAGCGATAAGGGATTGATTCTTTACACTCAAACACAGTTTCAACTATTCTTGATGCATAATTCCAACGAGTGGCTGACACTTTCTGAAGTTTTCTCGTGGTCATTTACTTTGCATTTACTTATTTTTGCCATTGCTTGTGATACAACTAAATTCACTCTGTGGGCAAAACAGTGTATGAATAAAGCAGTTGGATATTTTCCCTTAACTCTTGACTGCAGGCCATTCAACTCCCCAGCCATGACAGCAGCAGCAGCAGCAGCAGCAGCAGCAGCACCATCATAGGTCTGAGCAACTATTTGGCTTTCACATTCATATTTTTGCATAAAATTTGTAACAAATGTGTAAAGTGCTTCTGCTGTTCTATCTTGAGAGACGTTTTCAAACCCTAAGAACCGTTCATATACCTTGTTATCCAATGAATACCGAAACACATATGACAACTGACATAAATTGGTAATGTCAGTGGCTTCATCAAGCATTACTGAAATGAATTTTGCATGTTGGATCTCTTTTTTAATTTCATCAAGCATAACATATGACACAGATTCTATGAGGTCGTTTTGTATTAAATTGGACAGTCCACTGAAAGTTGTAGCATTGTCAAGGAAGCCTCTTAACTGTCCATCATATTTGCTTAGCACGTCAATAAATTCGACATAATTGCCTTTGTTTACTGAACTAGTGGCCTCATCATGACCTCTAAATGCTTGCTCTGTTTTTGCTAAGTAACATACTGTATCAATATAACGTTTCATGATTTCTCTGTTCCTTTTAACAAGCTGATTATGTTGATTGTCACGAACTCTCTTTTGATCACTCAACATATAGTCAATCCTTGCTTTACCAAAAGTTTTTTCAGATATTACAGCCTGCAAGTAACTTTCTGATAGGCTGTGCTTTTTTACTGCTTTATGTACATTTGACAAATCATTATATCCGTAAGTATTCCATACATTTTTATCATTTGAAAAAAGAAGACATGCCCAACAATAAACTCTTTGTGCACTAGAACATCCAGCAAGCCAGTCATTGATCATGTACATTTGATTGTTAAATTTTCGAACACAGTTTTTTACTTTTAAGCTAATGCTCAATTTAGGAATATGCCTGCCATTTTCCACAATAACTTTCTTAATTGTAAAGTCACGAGATCTAAAAGAATTCTTTAGTAGATCACATACAGTGCATGCACATGCTGAACTTTGCTCCTCCTGCGACTGCATTTTCAGTTTGGGGGTATATTAATCCAAATAAATGCGTCGCACTCACACATCATGACCTCTGAAAGTCAACTGAATTTCTTACGTTGAGTGTTGACATAGACCGTAGCCTAATACAGTGATACCATCTCTTTCAAAACAAAATCTATCAATTCAAAAAAAGTTTATAGCCATTATTAATTTATTATATTATTCAAAAATGAAAGTGACAATGACAATGACAATGACAATGACATTAATGAAGTACTTTGATAATGAGTCCAATAGTCTACGAAACTGTGAAACATAAAAAAGGTCAGATAATTATTATTTACGGATACGAATTTATCATTGAAAAAACTAATTAATGAACTGGTAATGCTGCGATGCTGCGGTGCTGCGGTGCTGCGAGTATAGGGGGTGGGGGAGGGGGACCAGGGAGGACGCTGTGCTTACGTTGTCCAAATTTCTAGCACAATTAATTATACTGACTGATAATAACAAATATTATTGAGGGGACATTCCAGCATCAGAATGCTTTCCACAGGTTATTAAATTGATCTGAACCTTATTTCCATGGGTTTGGAAAAAGGGGAGGAACATAAGTTAAATTATTTGTTCTCATCTTACGTCTGGCAATGGCATACCATTGACGCTGTGAGCGTGGGGGAACGAGGGTACTGCAGTGGAATATTGCTTACTTGAGGGATAGATTTTCAAGCGGAAAATGCCCGTCTTGCAAGTTTCACAAATTAACTGGGACAAAAAAAAAACACAATGCTATACACGATTGAATTAAATAATATGTTGATTAAATAAAATATTTTTATTTGGAAGGGAATCATTGTTATAGGGTAAGCAATGCTTACCTTGCTTCTTATGAATACACGCCACTGGGTGAAGCCAATTCGGCTCTTCTCATGGGAGTTACAAATACAATCCCACAGTGTTTATACCACAGTATTTACACCACAGTATTTACACCACAGTATTTACACCACAGTATTTACACCACAGTATTTACACCACAGTATTTACACCACAGTATTTACACCACAGTATTTACATTAGTGGCTTTTATAACATTTTTGGGGTCATCATACATTTTATTCATTATTTGCTTTACAGTTGATGCCTAAAATTGGTTGTTACTGTAGTATAAAGACAAGATCCATATTGATGCATCGGGGGAGGGGCACGTGGTCTCAGGCTGATAGTTTTCATGTTTGTTTGGGTAAGGCAACCCCAGCACTGTACTTGTAACCAGAGGAGATAACATTAGATTACTTAAATGGGATCTTGGGTAACACCCAAGAAAAGCCAAAACCGCAAATACTCATTTGGGAATTAGTATACCTGTGGTGTAATGGCCCCCCTGTCTCATCAACAGAACATATTATATAAATGGGTCGTTTAAATGCATTTGGTTTGCAGAGCCATGATTATGAGAAATTTAAGCAAACGTTAAGTGGAATCTTTGGGGGGTAATTGAGATCTTTGGGGGGTAATTGAGATCTTTGGAGGGGTAGGTCACAGCTGGGCCACCTTCAATTGATCTTCAGATGGATGGATGGATGGATGGATGGATGGATGGATGGATGGATGGATGGATGGATGTACACCGGGGATACGCTGTCGACATCGCAGGCGAGGTTCGCCAGGACATGCAAGCGACATTCTGGACCTCAGATTGGTACGACGATCAGGGTAATATGTCAGCGGACAATGTGGAAACGTTGATAGATCTAATAAGTTTTCTGCTTTCCGTCCGTCGTCCTCTATATAGCCGGGCACAAGAAGTACAGTATGAACCACTCCTGGATATGGTGGAGTACGCAAATAAGCTCTGTCCCCGGGCTACGGGAAATTTAATGCCGCAGCCCTCAGTGACGTCACGGCAACCCTTGACGTCAGATGCCTCAGATGGCACACATGTCCCCCTCCCAGACTCCTTATGCAACACACTTACCTCCGATTGCACCTCCCCACCTGATTTATAAACAAAAAACATCTTTACGATGCGCACACTGTAATAAACGTAGCCACGTAATGGAAGATTGTTTTCAGCTCCAAGGTAATAGTGCAAAATTTAAGGACACATCCAGTGAATAGCCATTCTCAAGGTCATACAGTGAGGCACCCACACCAGCAGCACCTCCTCTTAACCTGAAAGTGCGTAAATGGTGCGCCCTTCACAAATCGACAACTCATAGTTCATATGACTGCGATGTGCTAATAAAGGCGAGGGGTGTGGACCTTAGTGAAACAGAGGTGTCGTATAGGCACAAGCAGAAACGTCCCCAGGACATGTCGTCGGGGGAAGACAAACGCATACCACACCAGGAAGAGGGATAGATAGGGTTATCCCCGCCCCTCCTCACAGCACTTTTATAGCGGCGCTTAGCAAAGTTGAAGTGTTGTCAGTGCCGGTGAGAGTAGATAATACCAGATTGGCTCTTGATATAGACACAGGTGCTTGCGCTAATGTATTGGCCTTGACATCATATCAAGAGTTACAACGTAAATTCCCACCCTGTAACTTTCCACTGTCTATGAGTAAGACATGAGTTGTACATGTGAGAGGGCAACTCTCCCAGGAGGTAGAGCCCCATTGTCAGGATGTCTGTCTTCCCCGCGCAGCAAGGCAGGCCCTTACTCGAGTAGTCGCTCACACAAAGTTATATAATAAGGACTTGACCTAACGTTTATAATACATAAACGCTGTCCCTTTCTCATTCACTCATATACAGTGGAACTTATGGTTCGATCTACACTCAGGAATTATAGATACAATCCTTTTATAATAAAACAAGGAACTACAGTTGGGGTTTCGTTACTTAAACCCAAATAATAAATATATGTGAACGGCCTGGTTAATTGCGCAAAACAACCAAGTCAGTGGCCACCAAACGGCTCGGGTAGGTCATGCACTTAACCAGCCGGGCTATCAATTCACGGCCCAGTGTTCACACTGATGCACTGTACCGGCATTTACTAACATCATTATTTTAAACTAATCATATTGTATTACAATAATAGAAACATGCAAACACAGTTATTGTACATACCCCAAAAAATTATTTACAAGTACAGTCGGCCCTTAACTTAGGCGCGGGATAGGTAACAGAGATAACCAGAAATGTTAAAAATCCAAATACTTTTGCTGCACCCCCCATGTCCTTACTTACCGTATATACCTGTGTGTAGTTCGATTTTTTAAGACGAAATTATTTGGCAAAAATTGGGGGGTCGATCGACCTCTATACGGGTTATAGGTTCGTTAGGTTGAAAAATAATTACCAGTAACTACCAATAAACAATAAAAACAACGCAACACCAGCTGTGAGTGTCGGTACAGTTGCCAGGGCACACCTCTTGCGTCATCATAGCAAGCCCAAAGTAGCCAAATGCATGGTATGGTATGGTATGCGCAGGACAATGCCAAACATAAAGTATTCATTTTTAAAGTTCATTTATAGATACTGTACATATATTTTTGTTCATTACATTTGAAACATCAATCTTTGTTAATTTAATTTGAAACAAAAGAAAATTAAGATACCGTATTTCTAAATACCGGGTATTTTCATGAAAATATTGATTCACAATTATATTTTACCTTAACTGTCACTAAATGAATAAATTATAAAAAAATAAATGAC